GGGGGGGGGGGGGGAGGCTGCACATGTTTCCCAAAACAATTTGAATCTAGAGGCTCTTAAGTTCTGGCAAAGATTTGTTTTACCCAACCACTCACAAAAACAGTTTCAAAACATGTAACTGGGAATCATGGATATTCGATATATAACAACCTTAAATTTGCATTTCAGGCGGCAAAGAATATTAGGTTGTCCCACTGTGATCTCTTTTGGGGAGCTTCATTTCCCAAATTTTACCTTCTTTTCCATTACCCCAACACGTAAGTGAGGAAAATAGGAGAGTCTGGGATCCTCTCCCAGAAAACATTAATATATTTTTGATGCTTAATGACAGCATTTCTGGCATTTTGTGGAGCATCCACAAGGGTAACGAGTAAATGAGAAGACTGTTCTAAGGCTGCACAAATGGGTTTAGAACTGCACATTTTGTGTAGAACTGCACGTTAATTAAAATAAACCTTGACTCAAAGACTATTATAGTTATAAAAACTCAGGTGCATTAATGCATGGCTCCAATTTCGTTAGGAGTGGGAAAATAGGACATATCTTTAAAAAATTAATTAAAAATTAACAAAGTATACTACGACTCTCATTTTCGGGTGGAATGTTGGAAATCGACTGCCGATATTTTTCAACTACCGGGTGTCCAAAAAAAAGTACTTCGGTTTGATTTATGATCACTTTTAAACAAGTAAAGCTATCAAACAGAAATAACTTAGATTTTGATATGTTACAGTTGTATTTTACTTAAAAATTCACGGAGATATTAATGTTCAAAATCGGGAGCATATTTTGGGATGTGTCTAAAATTAGCGAAAATCGGCATATCAAATATTAACTCCAGTGTTTGTTTGCTTAATGACATATCAGGCTAACTTGTATTTCAGCGAATTGTCGTTAGGGTTTGTAAGGGATATGGCGTAGATTTAGACATCTTACATGTAAGTCTTAACTCATTGTTTCCTGAAATATGAACGTTCGAAATTATGCAAGTATTTAATAGGTCTTTGCAAACTTAAAGGTACATGAAAGACCATGCAAGGCAGGTGTTTAAATTTTTCTTAAATATAGCCTAATTTTTTTATGTTTTTCATGGGTTCAAAACAAAGTTGATTATTTCTCGGTTAGAGCAGGATGAATATTATTTTTTAGTGAAGGAAATAATATTGCTTTTTGCAAATACACATCACAGTATCAACGCTAGCGCTATTTTGTTACGTTTTGTTCCAAAAATGTTGGATGTCTCTGGGGAGTTGATTGTTATGTCTTTACTAATGGAGTTGTTTGCATAGTTTGATTGTGTTTCATTCTCAGTTTATTCTGAACTTGCCAATATTAAGAAAGGCGAAAGAGTTTGGGTGTTCTTAACAAGATTTCAGATTGCAGAAGATTTCAGATTGCAGAAGTTATAAAGTTCATTCAATGTGAAGTTAGAAAATTCACTTGTGACAGCATACCCTAATTCAGAACTACGAACGATCCATGACGATCCTTCACAATGCAGTGGTCTCATGAAATAAGGAAACGTATTCGTGCTAGGAACACACGCGGATTTTGGACGAATAAATCTTGCTTGTATTTTGTAGATAATAATACTTTGTTTCATAATAAACAATTTGTCAAGTGTCATTTATTTACTGGTAATAGTGCATGTTTCAGTCGGGCAAATTTTGATTAATATTTGATACGCCGTTTTTTGCATATTTCAGACACATCCAGAAATATGCTTCCGATTTTAAACATTAATATCTCCGTGAATTTGGAAGTGAAAAACAACTGTAATATATCAAAATCTAAGTTAGTCCTTCCTCTATTTGACGCAAGTTATTTCTCGTTAAAAGCTTTACTTGTTTAGAAGTTATTACGAATCAAACCGGAGTACTTTTTTTTGGGACACCCGGTATTTGGTTTCCATGAAAACTGGTCACGTGACAAGATATAGGCGATGATAATGGAAATTAACTTAATGTTTTAAAACACGGTTTGCCGACACACTAAACATTCATGGATATGTACAAAAATATTATCACGGAAACTTTTGTTCTTATCCTGCAATGTAGCAATTAGAAACTTAAAGATTATGGCACAGATCTGAAAATATTGCTGTGAATACAACAATGTCTCGCGCAATATCAATATAATTTGCACTAAAATAATCGTTGCAGATTTGCAATTATGCTTACAAGTCTAATTGTAGGACCAGGCCTACTCTGGGGCGGTAAATCGCCCTAAATCGCCTAAAATCGCCCAAAATCGCATTAAATCGCAGGTCAAAATTGTCAAATTTCTCTTAAATCGCCTAAAATCGCTTTAAATCCCCTAAAATCGCTTAAAATCATGGGCGTACTGGGCGGGGAGTGGGTGAGTGGGTCGGGGTACCGTCCCCCCCCCCCCGCACCAGTTGCTGGCTGGGCGGTCGCTCCCTGGCTTTGTTGGGCAAACAAAGCCAGCCGGGCAATATTCGCTCAAATTCTGTCAATTTTGTGGGAAATTCTGTCAATTATGTGGGAAATATGCTATCTAATAGGAATTTTTTGTAATCACTTCTCCCCCCCCGTTGACAACAATTTTGGATAGTTTCTCCGCCAAATTTTTTTTGACAACGTGTGCATAATCCAAAAAAGTCCGGCAAATTTCTTTCCAACCCCCTAATTTTTTCCTTCCCGTACGCCCATGCTTAAAATCGCATTAACTCGCCAACATGCATTCTGTTTGATACATTCAGTCAATGATGTCCTCAAGTTTATCAATTGCTGCTATTTTGCTGGCAAATCATGTATAATCCAGGTGTTTTGCAATCAAAAGTAATGCAACATGGATAAATCAAATAAGTGGATTAAGCTGACAATATTTAGTCACTCAATAGGCTCCGGTCGTTAATAAAAACAGAGCCTTTTTCTGCTTTATGCAGACTTTACAATAATTAGGCAATTCTGGGATATGAAAGACCCATACATTCCATTACACTACCAGTTACTGGTTAATTTCATTATTGGTGTAAAATGTGGAGGCTGGGCTACAATTTATATGGACTATGGTGGCTGGGCTACAAATTAATCTATAATATACATGGCTTCTCAAAGCCTAATTGCTGTTAGAACAACAGTAGGAGACTATGATAATGAGAGTCAATGAGTTTGAGAGTCAATGAGTTTGCAAGTTTTGCAACTCTCATCTATTAAATTTTCCAGACCTGTATATAAAATAAACAGTAAAACAATGATTACATCGTACATACCATACAATCTTTGTTGTTGCTTGTTTGCAGAACACTTGACAAGTTATCAGGTAAAAGACTTAAAACCACGATGTAGTGCGCGGTGTGCCATTTGTTTAATATCATTTTGTTTAGTATTTTTTTAAAATAATTTAGAATTCCGACCATTTATATGCTATGTACTTCATGTAAATTAAACTTTACGGCATTACGCCGACAGTTTCCGAATGCGTAACAATACTGTTTCAAACTGTTTCTGGATATAGATATCAAACATAATTTTATAAAACATGCTTGTTGAAACAGTTTAAATAAAATGCAAGCTAAATAAAGAAGTGTTGACAAGATACAAAACAAGACAATTTCACTTACAAGGGTGACAAGGTAATTTATAGGAATATAGCTTTAATATTGTAACTGTATAAATACATTGTGCGTTTCTACTCCCTGTGGGCTGTGGTTCTTTTGGAAATCAAATATCTATTATATTTTGCAATTAATAATATTAAAGTTTAGCCTAAGACATGTGTAGTTTAGTTATAGGTTGGCATTTTGCAATTATGTACCGTACATGCCCCTTAACTGCCTTAAGTAGAGTATATTTATTAACTGTTTACAATATTTGTGGTATATAATGTAGCCATGAATGACCACATGACCCCACAGGATGAACTACAATGGCTTCTAAATAAGACATTGGATGAAAAGTTCACAAATATTGAGCTTTATATTTGATTCGGGTTAAATACAATAATTATTAACCTAGCTTTATATAAAATGTACATACATGTTCTAATAATTGTATTTTGCTTCATACAATGCATATGTGTGTGAAAACATTACATTATTCAGCTCACTCCCCTTTGGGGCTTTTCAGTCACCGCTTACATCAAGTATTAGGATTACTTATGTTAGTGTAGACTATTTATCTTCATAACAATGAGAATATGATATCACTTTTCTAACTGTGTTTATTCTAACCCACCCTGCCATATTTTGCCTTGTGGGAAGAAACCAGAGCAAAATATAAAATTCAATTACCTTGAAAACACCTAAATTGCAATCCCTAAAATTTAGAATTTTCTCCTAAATCGCCTTAAATCGCCTAAAATCGCATTATATCGCAGTGCTTGAAAATCCCAGTTTTTCCTTAAATCGCCTAAAATCGCCCAAAATCGCATTATATCACAGCGATTTAGGGCGATTTACCGCCCCAGAGTAGGCCTTAGGACCAAAGTTGGCTGTACTCTGGACAAAATCTGCGTTTTAACGACCCACATTAACGTTGTTGTCTTATGTGTCGGCAAGTCCAACGCGTTTTTCGCGTGATGAATTCGCGCACGCCATGATCATCAGTAGGACCGTGAAACAAAATATTATGAAATACAAATATTCATACAATGACTAACAAATCATTTGTAACTAGTAAGTACTGCATTCAAATAATATGCGACGAATAGAGAGAATAATATATACAGAAGTACGATATGATAAGAACATATGTTCGATTATATGTTGAGTATAATATTCGACACAAGTCTGAGTCAGTTATATGAAAGGATATTATATTCCAACAACAATATTTATTGCGCCCTTAAGAGCTTTAAGAGAAATATGTCACTCTTAAGAATCACCACCCCAAAAAGTTTGAACCATCCATACGCTGGGTACTTATTTGTATTTCAAATATTTTTCTGTGCGTGGGAAACTAAAGAGGAATCACAAATCGATGTTGAATAACTCAGACCGTAAAAACCCGCAATAGTGTGTTTTCACATGACGTCACGGCATACATTAATTTTATACGCCGCCATGTTGGTGGAGTAAAGTCCGAAGATGGCGGCCAGCGATGCGGAACTAAACGTAAACAGCGAGTCAGAAAAAGTAATTATTCATGAGATTCCTTTGTCTGAATATGCAAAATCTCTCGAAAGTCTTGTTAGGAAGCGTTATATTGAGAAAATATCGGTTATTGGAATGGATCCTCTATTTATTCCAGAGGAAAAGTTGAGTACCGAATGCCTTCCTCCTGTAGAAGCAGCCGATCTTGTATCGTATCTTGTTTTGGAAACGAGCTTTTACACGAAAGATCAATTCAACAATTTTAGAAGCTTACATGCATACAACCAAATGGTATCCGGCTTTGTAACAAGTACTTTAGGTCAGATGTTTTCTGATAAATACGTGGCTGTTGGCAAAGTTCGACACTCACAACGAATGAATGATCCGCCTGTTCAGCTGTCGATAATTACAACAAATGATGGAACGATTCTATCTGCGCATTGTGATGGATGTATGGCGGGTTTAGGAGAATGCTGTTCGCATATTGCTAGCATTCTTTTTTACTTAGAAGTCTCGACAAGATTAAACGAAAAGCTCACATGTACCCAAGTTAAATGTTCCTGGATTTTGCCAACAGCTGTGAAGAATGTCGATTATCTAAGAATAAAGGACATACATTTGACCTCAGCAAAGAGAATGAAGTGTGACCTCGACAAGACTGCATGTCAATTCTTTGGATCCTGCTGCATGTACAACTACTGAAACTTCGAAAGTAACTTTGGAGTCTAGCAGTGTTTCTACAAAGGCACACAAGCCAAAGGCCCCTCTCAGTAAACCATCTGCAAAGGAACTTGATGCATTTTACAAATCGCTCAGTGAGTGTAAAATTAAGCCTGTTTGCCATTCCACCTTGCTTGCCTCTGTGTAGTGTATCTAAGACATGGCTATGTCCACATTGCAGGAAGCTACCAAAGTTTGGCCGTGGTAAGGAAGGGGTGAAAAAGAATGGGATCAAGAAGAATGATGTAAGTGCAAGTTTCTTCGAAGAAGCTTCTTCTATGGAAACTATTTGCTTGTGCAAGAAAAAGGTTAATTCTGGGCACAAGTTACTGAATACATAAATCTTCGTGGACATGTAATCAATGCAAATTGGACAATATTTGTGCAACAAAGTATACCAAACCTCAACTATTTTCATCTCCTCAGAGTTCTGTTGACAATTGAGCTGAAATTGTCTACCTTGGTACTAATGAAGCTGAGCAAGTTGATAAATATAGTATACTTGCATCACTCACTAATCATGACTTTGATGTTATAGAATCACCTACTGGGTGGTTAGAAAATACTGTAATACAACAAGCTCATGTCCTTTTGAAGAAAATTAATCCCGACATTCAAGGATTTCAGCGAACCAGCCTGGGTCCATTCTCTAATTTTGACCAGGTTCGTGGGGATTTCGTACAGTAATATCATAGTTGCCTCGAAATCCTTTGTCTCGCGAGGTACGATTAATCACTAATTTACCTCATTACCCATGCTACGCTTTGTCTTCTAAATTTACCCGGTAAATTTAGTTGAAAACAAAGGATTTCTTTGTCTTCTAATCTTCCCCTGCATGCTTTATGAGGGAAATTTAGGAGACAAAAGCGTACCACCTCCTTACCTCTGATTGGAGAGCTGTACCTCATCGAAAATCATCGGCACAACTATGGACAGTATCTGACGACACCGTCCCGTACACATCTGAACAATCACTTTGCCAGCTTTTATTCCCTAATCTTGAACATTACAATTGTGGGAGAAAATTCCGTTTATGCGCATGCCTAAAACGCCAATGGACACGAACATGTGTTTCTGCGCGTGCGTATATATGAAAAGTGTTCGTACCACAATCATAAGACAATCAAACAGCATTCAAAACAGGCAGCACACCACGCGCGGATTCTCTCGGCAACTATGGTATTACAACGTAATAGCATGGCATTACGGTCGATTAGTGATGAAATGTCCCTCAAGCCTCGAGAGGTTTAGTAAAAGCCCTCGGCGCTACGCGCCTCGGGACTTTTACTAAACCTCTCTCGGCTTTCGGGTACATTTAATCACTAATCGCCCTGCTATTACTTATAAATATTGCACACTGGGGGAAATCATTGGGTGTGTGCTAGTTCGATTGGTTGTGAAAAAGGTGTTGTAAATTTGTATGATAGCCTCTTCTATGATGTTATCCTTGATGATCTTCAACAACAAGTAGAAAATCTAGTTGGAGAGGATTTTCGAGAAATTAATGTTGTACCAATACAGCAGCAGTCAAATGGCTCCGATTGTGGTGTATTTGCAATCGCTTTTGCAACAAATCTTGTTTACACATTGGATCCAAATATACCACAATTTAATATATTACAGATGCGAGCTCACTTGCATGCTTGCCTGAAAGCTGGTCTCATTACTCCTTTTCCAACGGCTGAAAGCACATAAATAAAAATCTGACACTGACATCCAGTTTGCATTATTATTGAACTAACTGTTAAAATTATTATAGATTATTTATAATCTATCAAAGAAACAATCTTTTTGCATTTGAATATTTATTACAGACTTTGATAAACATTAAACATTTTGGTGATCAAGACTGAGAACCTCCACGTGGTGACTACTGGGCAACAACATGTTGTGTAAACAGGGGCAGATTAGCACACCAAGACCCTTATATATTTTAACTGCACAACACATTGTTTTGCATATTATTCGTACAATATCATGTGTTGAGAAATGGATGTTGAACCGAAGCAAATACTCGTCTATACAAAATGTACAAAGACTTAATTTGCACCAAATTGTTTTGTGATGTATTGTCTTTCCCTAATTCATGCTGTATCTCAAGCGAAATGTAAAAAATCTTATTTGCTCAATACTCTAGTCCTTCAAGAACTAATTATAAATTTGTCACTCCACTCTCGTTCCACCAAAATAATACTAATATTCCCACATACAGTATATTCAATAATTACATTCAAGATCATTGACCAATCAGGTTGCAAAACAGACCAGCCGAAGCCAGGGCCTTATTCGCTGACCATCCAACCGCGGAAGCAAAAAGCCCTGGGTACGAGGTTGAAGTTGAATGAACATTTCAAAACATGTACGAAGCTTTTCAGGTTATTTTTTACATTATATCAAAGCCCACAAAATGCAAAATAACATACCAACAATACATATTTTGGAAATTCATTGTTCCATGGTTCAAAGTACTAGTTTTTCAACTATTTTTGCCGTTTTGACGATTTTGTACAAATAAAAT